AGACATAATTCATTAAATTCTGGCTTTCTAGTCTTCCATCTCAAAAAAATTCAACAAAGTAAACTATTTTTAAAAAAATACAATAAGTACACAAGGTTATATCATATTATACATACTATACATTATTATACCGTGGTTCCAATTACACTAGTTAAATTAATCTCGAGCTATGAGCATACATTACATGAATTGCCAGAATATACATTTTTTGGAAAAATTATCATGTTAAGGCTAAAATGATAAGTTTCACCAAATCCTTTTTTCTTCTTTTGGTGAGAGGAAGAGTAAGGTAGTGATATAACAAGAGCAATTTTTTTTATTTTGAGAGCCAATTTTTGTAAAATACCAAATGTCTCCACTATTGAGATTTTAATTAAAGGTTGAAAAGTTTCTCACCACACTAATTAATCTTCTAAAGTGTCTGGCCTTTTTTTTTTCAAAGAAAAAATTACGTTGAATTTTGTTCTTGCTTTGGTTGTGATTTGTTAAGATTTCCATTAAGCTAAAATTACTTTCAAATATAATGCTAAAAATTTCCCTGAAGAACAAATGCAATCATACCTAAATCAACCAAATCTTCTAAGAACTTGTTGTATCACAAGTAAATAATCTTAAAGAGTATAAATTAATAAAATTATGAGACCCCATACATATAGAGATTTTTTTTGGGTAGAAACTGTAACTTTTATTGATATGATGGAGCATTTAAGTACACGGCATTACCAAAATTGCTCTATTTACAATCTACTTTACAAAAGTGCACAAACTGATCACTCAATTCTGCATTAGGCTGTGTATAATTTGGCTCTCCGTTGTAGATAGCTTCCCGCATTTACGACTTTGGAGTCTCACTCTTTATCACATTTTGGATCTCATGAAACACTACTTTTGCATTTCGCCTCTGATTTCTGAATATTCTGCTATTTCGTTTCCCCCAAATACTATATATACAGGTAGTCAGTGCAGCGTACAGTACCTGTTTCTTTAGCCTTGTTTTCCTCCAGATTTGCATGATCTCTTGTTTCCATCTGCTTCTATTCACTGATAGGCCTCTCACCCCCAGCCATTGTCTAACCCTGCTCAAAACTTCACTCGAGAATGAACATTGAAAGAACAGATGTTCATTTGATTCCAAATGGCCTAGACATAAGCTGCATTCTGGATCTTGGACTGGAATATTATACTTGGCCATTCTGTCTTTAGTCCAGGTTCTTTCTTTCCAAACCAGCCAGGAAATGAAGGCATGTTTAGGAAGATTGAATCTGGACCATATAACATTAGCAGCTGGCATTTTGGGTTCTTCACCTTGTAACCATTTGTAGCCCGAGCTGATCACTGTGTAGATTCTTTTTGGCCCCCTTTCAATTCCCCTTGCTCAAAACCATCCTGAGCTTTATCCCTCATTTTTAGTAGTTTCCATGACTAGCTACTGTCAGCCTTAAGCTGAACTTCTCATATGCTTTTTTGCTTTAAGTAAACTTTGTTCACCCATTTCAGCCATGGGCTGTCTTTCTTGCTTGCTATCCACCATACTTATTTAAGGATGGCTGTCTCATTCCACTTTCTGGCATCATACACATTGAGGCCACCTTCAGATTTCCTTCTGCATACTGTTTCCCAACCAACCAGGGCTGAGTAATGTCCCGATGCCTTCTTCCCCCACAAAAACTCCCTGCATTTCCTATTCACAGCCTCAGTAATGCTGTTATGCAGTATAAAGGCTGATGACCAGTACACATGCATGTTCATAAGTACTGAGTTAATTAATTGTAGCCTACCCGCGTACGACAGATGGCGGGTACTCCAACATTTCAGTCTTTTCGTAATTTTTCAACAACCACCTGACATTCTACTTGGTTCCATTTCTTAGGTGATAAGGGCATACTTAGGTATTTCGTGGGGTAAGTTCCCTTCTGGTATCCAGTCAAACCACAAATTCTCTGTTTAGTCTCCTCATCAGTCCCCCCTAGGTATATATTTGACTTGTCTGGGTTGGTTTTTAGTCCAGATACTTTAGAAAATTCGGTAAAAGCCTTATGGATATATCTAACAGACACCATGTCAGCTTTACAAAATATCATTAAGTCATTTGCGAAGCAGATATTGAACAGTTTCAGGTTTTTGCATAGAGGATGGAACTGAAAACCCGGCAATTCAGCCACTTCTTTTAGCATTCTAGTTAGGTATTCCATTAATAATATGAATAAGAGGGGAGACATAGGGTCTCATTGCCTCAGGCCTTGCCTGCACTAAAAAAAACCCACCTGAGCTCCATTTTGACAAAGGGAATAGGTCGTGGTTTGAATACATTTCATGATCCATCCTATATTTTTCTTTGGGAAACCATACACTTGTAGGCATTCTTCTACAAATCCTCATTCTATTGAGTCGTATGCTTTTTGCAGGTCTACTTTCATCATGCATCTGCTACTAACTCATTTTCTCCTATACAGCCTAATGAGTTCTTGAGTGATCAGTATATTGTGAAGAATTAGTCTACCCTCTACAAAAGTTCCTTGGTTACTATCTACCATATAAGGAGGTACTATTTTAAGCCTATTACATAATATTTTAGAGATAATTTTATAAAGGGTGAATGAGTGGATACATCCCAACGTTTACACCAGTGTGCTAATCTATCCCAATGTTTTAAAATTGATCAATTACGTCCCAAGCTTATCAAAATTGAGCAGATATATCCCATAACCTGCAAAACAACAAAAAATGACCTGATATAACAAGTAAAAAACTATTAGGTCTCATATTTATTCTTTTTTTCTCTTTTTTTGGTCATTTTTTAGTTTATTAAAAACGAACAAAATTTCTAGATTAAAAAAACTCAAAAAAACTTACATAATTAATCAAAATAATTTATGCATCACAAAAAAAATAATTTAAAATTTTGGATAAACTCAAAATTAATTAATTTTTGAATACAAGATGTATATAAATATACATATATATATAAGCATAATCATTCTATTTTTCACTCAAAATAAAGAATTTCTTTTTGGAAAGTTTCTTTAAGTTTTACCGAAAAATTAAGATGAATATGATTATAATATAAATTAGATTCATTACAAATAAATTAAAATTTTTAGTTTCTCGATTTATGAATGTTTTTTTTTCAATGAACTAAAAAAATTTAAAAAATTCAAAAAAACAAAAATAAAAATATTAAATACAGAATCCAAATGAATTTACCTGTTATACCAGGTTACTTTTGTTGGTTTGCAGGTCATGGGATGGATATACTCAATTTTGATAACCTTAGGACGTAATTAACTAATTCTAAAACTTTGGGATGAATTCGCTAGCAGGGTATAAACGTTGGGATGTATACACTAATATTCCCTTTTATAAAACACATTACAGTAGGCTATTGGTCTATGTTGGGATGCATTACTAGCATTCTCTATTTTAGGAATAAGAGCAAGTAATGTAGAGTTTAGTGGTTTCAAGAGCGTACCGTTTTTTAAGAACTCCAACACTGCACTTGTAACATCCTCTCCTGTGATTTTTAAGTAGCTTTGAAGAAATCGCTTCCGTATCCATCTGGCCCCGGGTTGTTGGCGGTGTTGATACTCCACAGAGCTTTCTTTACTTCCTCTTTGGTGATGGGAGTGATCAGCTGCAATTGTTGCTCAAGAGATAATTTTAGGCCTTTCTGGAACAGTTCTCCCCTAACCTAAATTCTGGCAGTATTTTGACCCAACTGTGATTGGAAATGATGTAAGAAATGATCTTCTATGACGTTCCAGTCTCTAATGATTTCTCCATTTTCATTCACAATTGACCATATCATGTTTCTCATTGTCTTCTGTTTCAGTTTAGCATGGAAAAATTTACTATTGATGTCCCCACCTTTAATCCAATCCTTTTTGACTTTCTGCCTCATGAAACTATCATATGCAACATACTTACTGATGTACTCTTTGATGGCCTCTCTCTCCTCTTCTTGCTTTGTTTCCACAGTAGGGTAGGTTGATAGCTGTTGCTGGTTCTCTAGCTTCCTTTGGGCCAACTGGAGTTGTACTTGAATATCAGAGAAACTTCTTTTGTTCAGAGCTGTCAAGTCTTTTTTCAGCCACTTCATCTTCATTGTTACTTGATACATCATTAGTCCCCTTATTCTCCTCTTTCAGTTGCTTTCAACTATTGCAAGGAACGTTTCATCAAATTTCCTCATATTGAAATATTTGAAAGGCCTCCTCTTGTATTGCATCTCTATTGCCAGTTGCACTAGTAATGGGGAGTGGTCGGATATCCCAGCTTGAAGGATTGTGGTTATTGCTTGGTTATACTGGTTCACCCATAACCCATTGATCAAAGTTCTGTCTAACTTGGCACGTATTCTGGTATTCCCAATTTCGTTATTACTTCACGTATAAATGCTGCCCTCTTGTTTCAGATCCTGTAAGCCACATGCATCCAGACACAAACTAAAATCTCCACTGACAATCCAAGCTTTGTCAACATTGTGACTAATCCCTTCAAGTTCCACCCACAGCCTTAGTCTTTCATGTTCTTCATTGGTTGCATAAACAGCTGTCATCATAAATTCTTCTCCATTCTTCCTCTCCCTAATATTGAACCAGTTAAGGTTTTTTTTTTCTAATTAAAAAGACATTTTAGGCTAAGCCTAAAACGAAATCAAAATGCCTTATAATAAAGGAGATTTCCTTTCTTACTAAATATTAAATTAAACCTTATTGTGTCTTCAATGTTAATCTTCAACTGGATTGCTTTAGTTTTATTGTGTCTCACAGTCCCTATGTAATAACAATACATACTGAAAGTGGAAATTTATAGAAAATAAAGATTTCGGAACGGAGGGAATAATTTAACAATGATGCATTTATCTCCATCGATGTTCGAGTAATAGTATATACAACAATTTCTACTGTGTACAGGAGAGAAATTTCATGGACATTGCAGGGCAGTATCACGCACAAAAGATAGCACTAGAGAAAACTCATTCGGGTCATGGACAAATGTCATCACAGGGAATGAATGTGCTTGATTTTCTGAATTGCATCTTTTACCTTCCTCGATGGTTCTTCAAATAAAAAGGCAGGATTATCAAACTCTGAAGCCATGCTTGGATCACCAAGAAAAGCACGAAAGGAGTCGGCCACTGAGTTTGAAAGGGAACTGAGGTTGTAACCTCCTTCCAAGAAGAAGACACACCGCCCATCACACAAATCTTTCGCAAGCTGCTTAATGCTTGAAGCAAGCATATAATATGTTGCGGTCGTGAATTGCAGGCTCGCCAGTGGATCCAATACGTGTCCGTCATAGCTGTATGTCATATAGTCCGAGTCAGATGTAAGAAATGTGCAGCCAAAATCTTCTAACACGTCAACTGTTGATGTTAGAAGTAATACTTCTGAATTACAAAACTGTATCAAAGAGTAATAGATGAAACCAGATCACTTCGCTACCATGGATTTTTTTTTTCTAAGAAACTACCAAACAATGCCAGATAACAACTGTAAAATTATAAAAGAGGACTCAAGAGAAGATTTGGCACATAAGGAACTTGAAGTTATCATAAAAGAGTAAGAAAAATCACCCTGCTGAAACGAGGATAATATCTGGCTTGAACCTCTGCGCACATGGTGCAATGACTTCTTCAAATACGGCTCGCATGGCCATATCACCCGAGCCTCCAGGTAAAGGAAGGTTCAACGTTGCTCCTTCACCTGCTCCTTGACCAACCTGATGTATTTTACCTGTTCCTGGATAGCTTCCATCCTACGTACATCAATCGGGAACAGATTAGGTCAGATGATTCCTATTTATCCCATTATTCTTCTCGCCCTTTGTTTTTGTGTTTCTGTCAAAACAACAGTCCTTTTTTCAACAATTGAGAGTTACAAACTGGATTTTCATTCTGAAGAATTAAAAAGGTCTCTTTTTAATTATGAACCTATTAATCACATTTTTTTGGAAGCACAGGTACTGCTTCTAAACCATATTTTTTATATTTCTATGTTCCACCTTATGATGCTAGTTTATTAGAAACAAAGATTCACCAGAGAAACAAGTTCATTGCATCCTAAAAGACAATGGACTCCTTTAGCACTTACATAGATCTTTTTGATCGTATACACTTCTTTCACTGATTAGATACAGCAAATGATATTCTAAAAGTATACAAGAGATAAAGATTTTATACCCCCGAATCGGTCAATCAAAAGATGAGCTACAAACTACTCTCTGTAGAATACTTTCTTGGCTGCACAATCAAATTATAATCATTTTTGAGAACAGGTGGTCACAGTTTGGAAACAAGAAACAGCCTCTTTGCGAAAAGCAAGAGTAAGGCTGCACACTCAGGCTATTTAATATGACATTTGTAACCGAGCAAAACCATGACCGTGAAAAAGTTGAGCTTCAAAAAGTGCTCTCATCAGAGCTTTCCTAGAGAACATCAATATGCAAACTGAGGGTATCAATACACTGTCTAGATGTAACTTCCGAGTTGTCGTTAATCTTAAAAGGCATTCTGAAATCTAAACATTCTGCAAAAAATTTACACTGAAAAGTGAAAACTGCCTGACGCTTCATCATTTACCTGGTGTGTCGAAAGGAAAAATATATCCGGGTCATCGTAGAAAGCATCATTGGTTCCATTCCCATGGTGCACATCAAAATCTATGATAAACACACGTTGCAAGCCATGAGCACGCTGAGCATGGCGCGCTGCTATTGCGACATTCCCGAACACACAGAAACCCATAGGCCCTTTTGGAACAGCATGGTGACCAGGTGGTCTTATCAGGGCAAAGCCAACTGGAGTATCGTGACTAAGTTTTGATGCAGCAACCTGAATCATCAGCAACAACATGTATAAGTAGCCATAGTCATAAAGTTCTATAAATTTTGACAAAGGCTTTCTGAACATCCATAGTAGGAAACAGAAAATAATTTGCATGGCCTCACTAAAGCATCCATCTTTTTTCAATATATTATATGTAGGCAAGTAGAAGGGAAGGAGGGGATAGCATCATTAAGTGACTAACGTATTAGATAGAGAGATCACCACTGAATCAACCAAGGAAATTCCAGCTCCAGCAGCCAATAAAGATTCATTGAAGGTCTGCACCAGTGAAACTGTGATTATTAGTGACATCTCAAGTCCATTTGAGCTGATGCATAGCATTTCAAGGTCTATTCAGACCTGGATTGATAACAGGGTGTGTACAATTGACTCCATGTTGGATGAAGATTTATTCAAACATGCAATTGGACTTTGACAGATTGTAAAGTGCTGTTCAATCAACAACAATGCTATGGCTTCAAAACTAGAACACACACCCTTCAGTTAAGCCAAAGTACAGATCTTCTTCAATCGAGGGACAAACTATAATCCTTAAGACGACAAACGCCAATACATGCATCAGCTAAATAGCTTTTGTAATGGAAAGATTTGTCATCCTATACATGACATACCTATGAAACTAATACAAAAAGTATATTTCATACTGTGGTTTTGAGAATCATGTAATGTTGAAGGAAAGATTCAGGTCATATATCAAATCCGTTGCATTTACAAAAATCATTTTTAGTTGACGTAAAGAAGAATTTGCCAAACTGGGAGAAGTACTTTCTGTATCAACCCTATATGCTTTGAAACTCAAGCATTCCTCACATTTTCTCACCGAGACAATTATCACAAAGTAGTCTGGCAACTATGAGTTCATATATAACAAACAAAGCAATGAATTTACAAAAGTGCCGCTAATTCACTAATAACAGCCAGTTAAAGAATTTTACCGTTGCAGTGGCATACGTTGGTCCAGTGCCTTCCACCAAAATTAAACCTTTATCGGTAGCCTCAACCATAGCCTTTAAACATCGATAGTGACTGAAGTCAGGTGAATAAGTAATGCACCGGATGACATTTTAAAGAAATATAAGCTGGATAATAAGCACATGCCCCTTACCTTCTCCAAGCCAGACACATAGGGTTTTGCATGGACACTTGTTACATCCTCCATGGAAGCAGGTTTCCAACTTTGAAGTTCAACCACCTCAGTGCCGCGGAACTAAAATACAATACAAGCAGTGTCACATGGTTATGATATTGCTTCAAAAGCCACCCAAAGCATATCAATAGTCAAAAGCTCTATCCCTAAAGATTACTAGTCTTTGTAAGTGGACAGAAGTCAAGGCAAATAGAATGCAAGAATATGCTTTATGAATTTCAGGATTTCTAAACATATAAACTATACTAAGGAAGTTAGATGTAGGCACTAGAGAAGGATGTTTGACGGAGCTCCATCAGATCATTTGCTGCTATTTCTGCTTGGTTTGACATGTGAACACACTCAACATCAAATAATATTTCAGAAATGATTGCTGTGGCCCAGCAACTAGTCTACTTTCCAGCCTTATGGGAGCATGTGGATTTGCTGGGAAGATTTACAGAGTTTTGAAAGTTAGAGTTACACAGAATCTTAGTAATCAAATAAATCTTGTTCAACCACCAACAAGTTAAGGCTAACCACTTAAGGAATGATCATCATGAAAATCAAATGCTGCAGAAATATTTGAGATTCTCTAACTTCTCCTAGTTTCTCCAGCAAGGAATCAAGAGAAGACTCAGGATGATGGCATTTCAAGGTCATCAAGTAAAGACCCTTCATATTCATGAATATACTAGTGGGAATTCGATACATGCTGTAATTTATCAGGACTCCAATATCTGAAATTCCTATCCCAAGGTTTTGCGATGTTGTTGGGTCAGTTAGAAAGTCGAAAAATTCCATAGACTCAGAGAGGGGATAAGTGAGAGATAATATAACATGACAAGTTACTGATCCTTCATGGGGCATTCATTTATCGAATGGGAAATCAAAACATTCTGAAGCATACAAAAATCAACGAAAAAAAAGTAATTACCCTAAATTGATGACTTCTATAACTCATTATTTTCTGGATCAGCAATTTACCATTTTTTGTTTCTCCTTATTTCATTCTCACGTTGTTGTATTCGGGAAGTTTCATTTCATTTTAATTTGCCTATTCATTCCAAATAACAGTATCTTGAACAATGTCTCACATATGCATTATTAAAACTACCATTAGAATATGGTATGAGGCAGACACTGAATGTTGGTAGCAGCCAAACAAGATCGTAACTAAGAAGAAATCATGTGCAGCTCACATGTATTGCATACTTTGGAAGTCAACTCCATCTTTTCCAGCGCATCCACAATAGCAGGTACTCTAGCATTGCACTCAGGGTGTAATTCCTGAAATTATTAACTTAAGTATCAGCAGGATGAAATATGAATTAAAGTATCAACATGATGAAATATGAATTATTCCGAACTTTTAAATATTTGAAATATCTTCATGTCAGTGGACTACAGCTGAACCGAGATATATGGTACAGAAAGTAATTAGAGCATCTTTGTCAGGGAAATTTTATTAAATCTTGCCGACCAGTAGTACTGGGAAGCAGTTCTTTCCCATTAATCCTTTCCCGACTTTCTACGTTCTCCAAGCCATTGGCTTTCCATTTATTTGATGTCTATAACTAGAATGATATAAAAAAGCTACTTGGAGAATTGGGCTTTGAAAAATTCAAGTCTCTAGAACTCTTTAGGGTTTCAAACTTAGAAGGAACTCTGAAGTTAATAGTCCCATTACAGGACCATTCATTGGGAAGGAAAATCTGATTTAAGCAGTAATGCTGAAAATTGATTTTACATTTTATAACTGGCACCTAATGGAGTTTAAAGATAGGTAGCCACACCTTGTTATGCCCCATGGCTGGAGCAACAGAATAGATGACTTTGGCATTATTTATCTGAGTGGTGGAAGGTCCCTTTGAGTTCTTCTCTGAATCATTAAAGCAATGAACAGAATGCCTATAAACCTTTGAAGGATATCTGTTTTTCAACCTCACGTGATTTAGGAAAACTTCACTGCTTCCATGGAATTCGAACATGACACATTGTTTTGACATGAACACTTGGTAGCTGGATCTCAAAACAACATTCCTTACTGCAGGAAGACAACAGAATTTATAAGAAATTTGGGGGTGTGGTGGTGGGAGAAAGATGCACACAGATTGCAACAGAGAATATAGATAATGTGATCAGCCCACATTGCAAACATGGTGCAATCAATGTGCCTGCTTAAGCAGAATTGTTTCCTTCGAATAATGCTAGCTGAAGGAATAAAACAAGAATATTACCAACAATTTCTAAACCAAAAACATATCGTGGCGATCACTATTTACAGCTTGAGAGTTTAATGAACAATCCAAGAAACTCCAACATCCTTGAGCTGATAATCAAAACATGGGCACCATGAAAATATGATAGCCTACTCAGTGTAGATCCTTTAGAACTTAAAATCACGAGTTGAATAATCAATTTAACATAAAAAGCAACTTCTACCAGCCAAAGAAGGAAACAATTCAAAAACTTTTTCGATGGTGTGAGGATTGGCGCTGGCTCAAATTTTTCTCAATTGAAAAAAGGTGAACCATAAAAAACCTCCATCTCAGTTTTCATTTCTGATTCACACTTGTGTGTAAATAACGGAATAATTACAATTATTTAGCAGAAAAGTTTCAAGTACACTCTAACGAGTGTGAATCCAACTGTAGTCCATAAGTAAAACAACATCATAATGCAACAGCCGGAGAAGAAAGTAAACCAATGAATTCTACAAATTTCATTGAAATCCCAGCACATGAAACGTGACGCCCAGTTTCCAGTTTCTACAAGTAGAGCAAATGGCCTATCTATCGTGGTCGTTTATTCTCAGCAAATAAAGAACACAAAATACCAAGCTCTGCTATTCAAGATGAAGATAAACTACCGAATCTTCAATAGCTATTCCCAATTCTAGAACAAGATAAAACTGTTTGATATGAACTTCATTATCAGATTAAGACATGATCATGAAGAATACACCATTAAAAACAATGCTTTGCTTCAGTGAAGGAGGAGAAAGGTTACCGGTTGAAGAAGCAGAAAACATGGTTCGGGCATCCATCTGAATTCTGAGGCCACATAACAATCTCATCTCTGCATTTTATCTAAATGTTTCAGAATTTCTCGGTCAGAAAGCTCTCTCCAGTTTTGTCTTCATATCAAAACGGGGGAAAAAATCTCACTTTTTCATAATAAAATCTACTTTTTACTATTATTATATTACAAAAATATATAAAGGGTCAAAAAAGAAAGAATCTTGTTTTTTCAAATTTAAACTACAGCCCTCTTAAAGAATCAAGTCAAAATTGGACCCTGCTCCAAAGCCCTCTGTACCAAATTTCTCCAGAAGGAAAAACAAAGATGGAGTTTGAAGAAATGGAACCCATATTTGGGGAATTGAAAGCAGAGTGGTCAGTTGGAGCTCCCAAAACAGCAGCATTGAAGCCTTTCCTCTTCCTGGTTGGTGGTCTTCTGAATTCCCCTGATGTTCTCCGTATCTCTGTCACCGATTTTCACTCCAACACCTGGGAGTCTCGCAAGTCTAAATCCCAGCTAGAAGACATGGTCAGTTCCTGGTTTTTTTTTTTTTTTCTTTTTGGTTCTTAACTTATGATTTCTTTTCTTTTTTTTTCTGGTTTATGGAATGTTATCATGTTTTTGGGGATGAAGTTTTATGGTGGAAGTTGATGATCGGGTGCTGCAACTCCTGTGGACTTGTAATGCAGTTTCTGAATTAGGATTTGTATTGATCAGTGCTTTGATTGTGGGTTGCGGCGATTAAAAAAAAAAAAAAAAGATGAGTATCAGGGAAAATTGATGCATATAGAGAAGAAGAAATTTTAGGATCAATATTCTATTTTGTGTGCGGAAAGGAAGATATTCTGTGTCTCTTACAAGTTAACTGTCTCCAAAGACTGGTTGTTGATTCTTAAAAGTCTGTACTTCCTGTCTGTAGCAAATTTGAGTATCAAACTTATGTCCAAGTCAAAATTGTTGAAGTACTTTTTGTGCCATGTTTTTTACCACAGATCTTTGTAATCAGGGGAATATAATGGGGGCAAAATAATTTAAACAGACCATTAGGTCAGATTGGGATTGATTGGCCAATGCGCAGGGGATTAAGATTTAGGAGAGTGAACCTTTTTTCCCTTAAATAGTTTGTGGACAAGAATGTGGATGATTCTATTTTAAATTAGCTCAACTGACTGGATAATGGTTTGAAAAAGGGCAGTCCTAGCGCACTGAAGCTCCTGGACATCTGCGGTTTGCCAAAAGCTATGGCCATTAAGGCCGGAGTAGGCACCTTTTCTTATTTGTTTTACAATAGGCTGTTCTGCCTTCTACTCTGGACAGTTGTAACATTTGATGTACAGATTACTGATTGACCGGTGAATTTAATTGGTCAATAGAAAAACCATATTGTCTCCAAAAAGACGGGGTATAAAAGTGAAACCGGTCAAGAGTCTTTAAGTTTTTGCAGGTTCGATTTGTAAGGCCTGGGTCTTGTTTCTGAACCCTAATAATAAAAACTCACTGCTATGTGAGAACAAACCTTCCTGTAGTTTTATGTAAAGGTTATAGAAATATCAAGTGGGAACAGCATGTAATCAGGAAAGCCCGACTTTTTCATGTAACCCAATGCCTATTGAATTGAGTCCGTAATCAGTACCTTTGGCTTTTCCTCGTGTCCCTTGATTCCAGGTCATTGATACTTTTAGGTTTCAAAAGTAAATACTTTAATGAAAACCATCTCTTAAGACAACCTTGACCTTAGTCCATCAGGTTCTTCATTTTGGCATGTGCCGTTTCCTCACCAGCCACTTATGATTTACTGAAGAACATTCCTGAGATGGCCTAGTTTCCTAGCATATAGCTCTTTCATGAATAGCCCTTTGACTTGGACACCCACACTCAAGGCCATATATCACAGCATGTAAAACTTAAAAAAACCTGACCACTAGCAAAACCATTTATAAATGGCAGTTTAGTTTTATGTAATAGCTGTTGTGGGTGTTCTAGAGATGACTGACGAGTAATACTGTACTTTACTTTGTTTCTGTTTAAGTCTTGCTTATTCATTGGTTGATTTGGTTGGTGTTACTCTGTCATCATGCAATCAGAGGCTTGATTGTCTTTTCATAACTTTTTATGGACAGAGGGATAGCATTGGAATTGGAGGATCGTGGTCGGACTTTGTTGAATATGTTATTGCTTCCCTAAAATCTGAAGATGTAAAGCTTGTTATGGAGGGAGAGTCCAAATCAGGAGGTAGCTACCATGTCTTGCATTAATCCCTTAAAGACAGAAATTTCAATTGTTGTTCTGTTTTATTTCATGAAGGTTTGTTGGTAGGCTTGGCACTTCCTTGGGATTTAGTTTATGCATTTGGCAACCATTGATTTGTTCATTTTCCTTTTTCCTGCTGGCAAAATGAGAGGGCCGGGAGGGGAGTGGAAATAAGTTAATCTCTTGGCTAGAAAGCATTTTCTTTTAGTTTCTAAATTTCTTTCAAAATGGATAAATGCTAATAATACAATAAGGAACTAAGGTTAGTCATACATTAGTTGGCTATTAAACTCCATTTTCTGCTTCTTCTTCTTTTTTTTTTTTTCTCTCCCTCGCTGGCTCGCCCATTATTAGCCTCTGATTTGCTCATTTGTGAGCACTTCCCAGTATGTAGTCTAAATTCTTTGGAGAAATTTGGAAATTAGAGCCAATTATAAGTTCTCGTGTGTGTCTTGTTCTATTTATTTGTAACCAAAATCTAAAACCAATATCATTCTATAAGCAACAATCAGATGTTCAACATTTTCCATTTTAGTTGCGAGGTATCTTTCTGCTCTCTGTTTCTACAGCTTAATTGATGCTCTGTTTTCCCCAATGATTCAACTCATTCCAATTAATACTCAAACTACTTGAATGATGAATGATGTTTTAAGTTTAAAAAATGCCACGACATTGTTGGTTCTAGCACGCCAACATCTTTCTCTGTGTAATCATTTCCACAGAACTTCAAGTGCTTGATTTTTTTGCTTAGTATTGTTTTGTATGTTTTAGTGTTGTATGGTGCACTTGGTTTGGTTTGGGTGTATCATTAATGTTTCAAATATTGGTATTCATTTGTTTGCTTATGATGTTTAATTTTCTGTTCAAGTGGTCTTCGCTTTCCACTTTGATTCTGTTAGCCTAGAAGACTTCTATATCTGTGCAGTAGCAAAAAGAAGATTAGTATCACATATCCAAATTTGTTTGGAAAATGAGTGCTCCAGGAAGTGAAGTTTCTTCTTTTTGTCTTCAGAAATTTAATACCTTCTCTTCATTTGATTCATTTACAATGGACGACAGGCTGAATTGTTGAGTATGACATTCCTTAGATGTGACTTTTTGACATACTTATTTTAAAATTTAGGCTTTCTGTTCCCAATAAATGTTCTGGGACACATTCAATTCGTTTGCCAAATGTGCTTGCCTATAGGCCCAATACATCTCCTGGTGTTCAGTTGAATTTTACCAGACAACTTTGCATGGAATTTTTTTGGGAATGCATCTAAATTCTGTCTGTGTACATTCTATATCAGGTGCTGCCAAGGCAAAGTTAGTTGCTCAAAAAGCGAAAGGGATGCCTCGTATTATAATTACTCTTGCAAAACTTGTTAATGCTGATGCAAATGAGGCTATGGCAAATTTGTCCCTGGAGTTGCACGAAGCATACAAAAAGATGCATCTCTCACTCGTAAACGGTTCTCTCCTCTGCCTTATTAAGAATATATAAGTTCAATTTTCTAACTTCTGAAGGTAAAAAATGATGTGAAAGGGGGAAACTCGATTTAAGTTGGGGGTTATTGCAAACTTTTTTCCGCCGCGAAATTAGTGACGTGGTGTAGGCTAGTAATTGGACAAACTACTAAAAACATTGTCTTCATATTCCCTTCTATTGAGCAGTTGGGGCTGCCATGCTGATATTCATTACTTGTAATCCCATCCTTGATGTGCTTCAATTTGCAGACTACTCTCGTCTGTTCAAATAAAATTTTTAAAAAATCGCACTGTGTATACATGTCTCATCAGCAATATGGTGCTATTTGTTCTTTTCTCTAACTGTAGTGTTTGGGTCTTACTTCAGAGGAGAGGCGGTGTTGTCAATTGACGAAAACTCTATCAGATGAGCAGGTATCTCTATTTTGATTCTGGTGGTTTGTTCTCCTTGCACTGAACAGCTTTTGGAATATTTTCCTTTGAGATAGCTTTATATTCTTTATGAGTTCATTTTATAACCATTCTCCAGGAAAAGAATGACACTTTACAAAGACATATAGACACAATGACATTCTCAAAGAAGCAAAAGTTCCAAAACAGTATTGATAAGGCAGGTTTGGATAATGGTTCGCTGGTGCAACAAAGTTCTCCAGGTATGATTCCGCATTGAGCCAGTGTTTAAATCAGGTAGCTGATCAGTGACGTACATAGAATCTTATTCTGTTTTTTTTTTTCTTTCTTTTTTCGTTTTTTTTTGGTGTGTATGTGGAAGTGTATGAATTCTGCATATAAGTGAGTATGATATAATATGTCTTCCTAGAAAGGCAGTCAGCAGTTGATACTCATAGAACTAAACATTTGTGAGTTTGAGAAAGATTGTAGTTCAAATATTTATCTGGTTGTCACTTTTCCATGACTTGCGGTTGCTGTTCAACTGTTTGTTACTCAAAGGGTGTCATTCTCTTTTGGAATAATCAATGCTTACTAATAACCGTGGACTGGAATCGATAAAAATGGTTGGAATATGTGAAGGTTGTCCGAATAAGTATAGCTAGATACACATCAATTTAAAACAAAGATAACATGATGGTAGTTTAAGCAACCCCCGAAAAGGTCATATTAACAAGTAATGTTTAGCGTTACAGCTTTCCTCGTGCCTTTCAAGGTGTTCTGACTACTTGATTTGATAGTCATTCTTTGCTGTAGTTTTTGCACTATGCATTGGAGTTTACCTTGTTATCCAAAATATGATGTATCAGTCTTTCCTTCTTATCGTTTCCCACTGTCCTTCAGGATGTAATAGTATATTACATATCATCTTGGTTCCTTCTAGTCATGTCTACCTGGGGAAACTAATGCCATCGACTATGAATATGATCATCTTTTTGTTTGTGTTTCTAGACCATTTACCCTTTTTGTTTATGTATCTATTTACATCCTTTTTCAACACCCCCCCCCCCAAAAAAAAAAAAAAAAGAAAAAAGAGAAAAGATAAAAGGTTTTGGCGGGTGTTTGAGAATAGAGGTGGGGGAGGAGGGATGCCGAGAAAAATTTGCACCTAAAAGCAGATAGCCATGAGATCATGCCTGCACGGACAATGTTTAGGTTTTAGTTTTCTTTTTTTTTTTTTTTTCCTGGGAAATGAGAAGATGTTGCTGTTTGAAATGCAAAAATGTGGGTGGAAACTTTATGGAGAGACTGAAACAGAGATCAACAGTGATCGGATTTTGTCTGGTTTGGTTGAGATGTTTTTTTTGGTAATGATCACCGTCTGTAAGAATGTGTTTACAAAGTGCAGATAAGCAAGCAGCTCCGGTGGCTGCCTCAACAAAGGCCACAAAGCGGGTCGTCCCAACGCATCGCAGGTGGGGGCATTTCAAATTTTTTGATTGATTGATCTCGTGAAAATGAAAGCATTATATTTTGACAAAATTGGTATCCTGATTTTGCAGGGCAAAAGTAAGGGGGGCGTTTTTGCAGGAAAGTGACGATGATGCGTAGAGTAGGAGGAAGCAGGATGATATATCTTGGAATTGACTTCTCTTTGTGAGTGGGTTTTTCTGTTGTTTTCGATGAAGAGATGTACATTATAGGTAAATTGAACAAATTGTTATTGTGGCAGTCTTTAATCCATATCTATTCCTCAGTAGTACATAGATAAATAAATTTATTAAAACGTCAAATTGTTCTTTTTTTTTTTTTTTTTGCAGTCATTGATTCTTAAATCAGCCATCTTCATGGATCTATCTCTTTCGTTTACCAAAATGGTAGTACCCCCACTTTAACTCTTAACTGAGATAGTGGGTTTGCATTCATGACGGAAGAAAGATCTTGCAAGAATTAGACCAAACCCCACTAATCCAAATAATTCCATTGGCGCGCGGCTGAGAGTTTAGTTTTACGTCCAACTCCGGGTTTTTCATGATTCCATCCACACTGAATGGAGGAATGGGAAAATCAATCCCGTCCACCTCCAGGTTCTGAATCAACTAGTATAATCATTAGCTCTTCCGATCTCGAAGTAAAGTCGTCAATCACGTCCTGACTTTTAGGTATCGATTCGTAAGAGAAAGCAGGCAGCGAAGCTCCCCGAATCAACCCCCAGATTTATGGCATTAATAATAACCTCAACAATTGAATTGGATAGAAGAACCTCGACAATGTGGATCCACCAAAATGGCTGTTCTCGTGGAATTGGTAGGTTAAAACCACTTTTGAGCTATAATATTAGATTCCGGCCTCCAAATGGATCTCCGATTTCCCCGGCGTTTTACCGATGTTCTCCTACAGTTTCTGGGGGGAAAACAGAGGCGGTCGCCGGAGACCGGCTGCCGGCCATCAACTCTGTCGGCCGCCCGCGTTTTTTTTTTTATATTCTAGAGATCCCAGAAGGGATTAAATATAAAATCGTGTCGGCCATGATGTGGAAGGTCATGCAGCTTAGATCTCAGAAATTTTTTATTTTTTAAAAAATTTATTAATTAATTATAATCTTTTTTAACTAAAAATATTTTGTTTTTTTTTTTAAAAAAAAAAAAGAAACGAGCGCTCGCACCGACAAAAACAAGTGGAGTGTTCTAGTAGAGAGACGGACAGTTCTTTACTTTACATTTCTTTCAGCTTATGAAAGCCAAATTTTTGCAGGACCAGCAATCATACTACGTACGTCTCTTTCTCTGCAGATACAAAATCATGGTCAATCCTCAATCACCCTTTACTTAAATGCAAAATGACCATAATAAATACTCCTTCTGTCTCAAAAATTATTGTCCAGTTTGATATTTCACTTTTAGTATAATTTGAACTAAAAATGAAAACCTAAACTGGATAATAATTATGGGACGGAAGGAGTATCTAAATAACAAGATGAGTTACTCGTTGTAACCGTTTCCTTTCTCTCAATTTTTTGTAATGTTACGAAACATCTTACATTACAATTTTATTACACTTTCATTGAAACCTGTTATCTTTAATTTTCTTTTCCTTCATTTGCAATACATATGTTATTGTCCAAATTATATGTTTCAATTCACGGAGTATTTTTTCTTTTTTTTTGTTAAAAAAAAGTTGTCATTTTACCTTTATAAATATTTTAAGGTACAATGTATGTTGTTCTGTCATTCAATTCATAAGACAATTGAAGAAAACACAATTAATTTAAATTTATATACAGTTACAATGAAGTATTGACGTAAGATTTAAGTACGGACAATTATGATTCATTCCATATTAAAATTTCTTGTAAAATTTTCCTACGTGAATCATTATCAATTGATGTTGTTCTGTCATTCAATTCATAAGACAATTGAAGAAAACACAATTAATTTAAATTTATATACAGTTACAATGAAGTATTGACGTAAGATTTAAGTACGGACAATTATGATTCATTCCATATTAAAATTTCTTGTAAAATTTTCCTACGTGAATCATTATCATTTACAATAGTCCAATGGAAAAAGTTGATTGTTTGTGCAATGGAAGGAAAGGTGATGGTGCTAAAGTCCCAAAATTGATCTTTTGAAGGACTTGTAGAAGAAAATATAACACTAATATTTTTGAAATTAACAATATTGAATATAAATATATTATTCTAACAAAAAATAAATAATCAATATAAAATTTGATAGTTACTCCAGCTGGAGTTGTATATTATCATCACCGTCACTCGCCATTTCGATTTATAGAGACAACTCTTTCACCGTCTTTCCCACTTTTCCCTCTCTGATGAACAAAATGCTTCCATGATCCAAACCTCTTCTCAGATTTCAGATCTGTACCCACATTTGTAGACAACCCATTACCCTGAAGCAAAAGATTAACGAGAGCAAAAGGTATTTTCTTTTTCTTTGCACGAATTCTCGAGATATTGAGCCCATTTGGTGTTTTCGTTTTTCGTTCTTGTAATTGTTGTCTTGTAGATCTGTAATATTTCTTTCGTGATCTTTGTTAGTCTGTTGCAATTCTTGGGTTTTTCTCCGAGCTTTTATGATGATGTGTTTGATTCTGTTCAACCATGTTTCTCTTTTCCTATTAGGCTTGCCGTAACTGTCTTATGATTTTTAATGTAGATCTGATTTTCTGGGAAGAGGAACTTCTTTTGCCTGTTTATAATTTCCCAAGATCGTACATTTTGGTGTGTTGTTTTGTTCTTTTATTTCATGGGCACTTGCTGATTGCTACTATTGCCTCATACCTGTTGATTTTAGTTTCAAGAATCGATTTTAAAACTGTTGTGAGATCCATATGATTTTGTTTGCAATGTTTTCAGTAGCTATTGTGGTGATTTCTGCGTTATATCTTGTACTTACTGATTGATGTTGATCCAGTATTTTTCTTTCTTTTCTTTTCTTTTTTTTTTGTATAGGTGAATTTTTTTTTATCTGAGTGGTGGTAGAGTAAAGATGGCGTTAGGGAAGTACTCTAGAGTTGATGGTCGGAAATCATCTTCGAATTATTGTTCCACGGTGACAATTGTTGTGTTTGTAGCACTTTGTTTGGTTGGTGTATGGATGATGACTTCATCATCCGTAGTCCCTGTTCAAAACTCAGATGTGTCTTCCCAACAGGAGAACAAGAATGATGTTAACGAGAATACCCGGGTGAGTGATAATACAAAGGAAAGTGGCAACAATTTTGATAATTCTAGTGATGAGAATAAGAGCGATAATAATAGTGATGGCTCTTTGAATGATAATGATTCTAAAACAAAGCAGTTTGAGGATAACCCGGGTGATTTACCTGAAGATGCTACAAAAGGGGACAATGGTGCAAACTCTAATCAGGAGGAGAAGAAATCAAACATCCAGAATACGACGAATGATGAAAATGAAGAGCCAAAACCCAAGCCTGAAGATGATTCAAATAGTGAAATAGAAAATGGTGATGAAAATAAGGGAAATGGTGAAACGAAGTCTGATGATAAAGATTCAGAATCAGACATTGATGGAAATAATTCTGGTGGAGGAGAATCTGGAAACGAAAATGATAAAAAATCAGATGATAGTTCTGATCAAACAAAAAATTCGGATAATTCAGATGGTGAAACAGACACAAACAAGAAAGATGATTTGCTTCCCTCTGGTGCTCAGTCGGAGCTTTTGAATGAAACTACCACTCAAAATGGGGCATTCTCCACTCAGGCAGCAGAATCAAAGAATGAAAATGAAGGTAAAAAATCTACTGAATCTGAGAAGCAGAGTGAAAGCAAGTGGAAACTCTGCAATGTCACAGCAGGACCAGATTACATTCCGTGTCTTGATAATATTGAAGCCATAAGACATCTCCCTAGCACTAAACATTATGAACACAGGGAAAGACATTGTCCTGATAACCCACCCACATGCCTTGTTTCTCTCCCTGATGGTTACCAGCGTTCAATCCAGTGGCCCACAAGTAGAGACAAGGTAGGTTTCGAACCATGCATCTTCATGTTCCGACAAAGGAATGGATTTGCTTTCTTTTGCTCCCTCATGGACCTTTGATTTTTCTCATTGCAGATATGGTACCATAATGTTCCTCACACCAAGCTTGCAGAAGTTAAGGGACACCAAAACTGGGTTAAGGTCAGTGGAGAATACCTCACATTCCCTGGCGGTGGGACCCAATTCAAACATGGTGCTCTTCACTACATAGATTTTATTCAGCAGGTATGATTTAAAAATCTATTGTATCTATTTATTTACTTTTAGCTCTATTTTATTCCAGTATGCGTTTTTATACATCTTCCTTTGCATCCTGGTTTAGTGTGGGACCATTCAAATGAGCCTCACTAAGCTTTGACGTACTCTTCAATTCATTTACCTTTGTCTCTTGCACAGCTTCAGTCTGGAATCTTTGCAGCTATGAGAATAGTTCATTTTTATTCTTGCTTGTCCCTTTATTGTTAACACATTTGTGAATTAAAGCATTAAAATAAAGAGTGATATACCCATATTTTTAGTTGCATGAAGTTTTAATACAATTTTAGTCACATGCAAGCTGATTTTTTTATGATTGCAGACGTTAGAATAGCAAATACAGTCTCTTTTTTCATACATTGTGTATTTTCTTCTCGTGTGATTCTCATTGGAGAACAATATAAGCTCATACACATCGTTTATTGGTAATCTATCATTTTGATATGACCGGTCATCTATTGAAATACTAGTTTTTCTTTGTTTCAGTTTTTTTTTTTTTTTTTGTTGTGTGATATGAAATTATCAACAGATGTTTTGCTGAACAATTTTTTGTTGTTTTTTTTTTTTTTTGGAAAAAAGGAAGATTGTGGGGAACTGAAAATGGTTCTTCTTTATATTAGTGAAAGGATCAACCATCACCTATTTGTTTTGGGTGTTTGTAAAGCATGAACTGGTATCTCTTTGTACTCCCGTAATGACCTTGTGCTAAAGTTGGTAACTTTTTTTCATGGCATGTTTGCTGGAAATTTGTGTGTAGATTGTTCAGATGCAAGTTCTCTTCTTCTCTTTGTCAAGACCAGTTCTAGTTAATGGGCGCTCTTGATGTTATAGGCCTATAAGTTACTTTCTAGTGTTCTCTGATTATATCAATAACTTATGCAGTAATACCTTAATAGACTCTTCTAGGTTATTCTGCATCAAGGCATGTGTTTGTGGCTATCTGGTTGGCTTTCTTATGTTATTTCTTAAGAAGTAAATATTTCTGCATTATTTTTACATGTATTTTTGAATATGGACCTTAGATATTGCTGTAAAACTTGGAATAAAGTTTTCTCCTTTCTGAGTGTTTGCACGTTGAGACATTACAGATAACTTTTTCGTTTTTTCCAGTCTGTTCCTGATATTGCCTGGGGTAAACGGTCTCGTGTTGTCCTGGATGTTGGATGTGGGGTTGCTAGCTTCGGAGGCTTTCTATTTGATAGAGATGTGCTTACCATGTCCCTTGCCCCAAAAGATGAACATGAAGCACAAGTTCAATTTGCACTTGAGAGAGGTATCCCTGGTATATCCGCTGTGATGGGTACTAAGAGACTACCTTTCCCGGGGAGAGTTTTTGATATTGTTCATTGTGCCCGATGCAGGGTGCCTTGGCATATAGAAGGTATGTGCTTTTATCAATGCCATATACTATTGGAAGGTTTTCCATATCTGCGTTCTTATCCAAGCTCAAAAAAAATTCTTATCACTCGAACATTTATGCAAAAGTCCATTTATGATTCAATGTACAGGTGGTAAATTGCTGCTGGAGCTTAATCGTCTACTACGTCCTGGTGGTTTCTTTGTGTGGTCAGCCACTCCAATCTACCAAAAAAATGTTGCTGAGGATGTTGAGATTTGGGAGGGTATGCGATTTGCTTCTAATGTACTCATTTTAGTTGTTTGAATGTCATTTCTAATTTGCTAGGAATTGTGGAAACATGCAGCCATGAAGAAGCTAACAAAGGCTATGTGCTGGGAACAAGTTTCTATCACCAAAGATAAAGTGAATGGTGTAGGGATAGCTATATACCGCAAGCCTATCAATAATGAATGCTATGAGCAAAGATCAGAGAATGACCCTGCTCTCTGCCAAGACTCTGATGATCCTGATGCTGCCTGGTAATCTTTTGTATCTTTTCCATCATTTTTGTTGATGTTTTTACCTTGAGCGAAGGGCACAGTCACTTCTGGGACCTGGTAAATGATCTTTCTTGTGCAAAGTGGAAATGTTTTGTAGTTCTAGTCTTATGCAAAAGTGTTTATTATCTTCTAGGAACGTGCCTTTGCAATCATGCATGCACAAAGTTCCAGTTGGTGAATCAGAACGAGGATCTCAATGGCCAGAATCTTGGCCTGCTCGAGTGAAAAAAACACCCTACTGGTTGTTGAGTTCTCAAGTTGGAGTTTATGGAAAACCAGCTCCTGAGGATTTTGCTGCTGATTTCAAGCATTGGAATAATGTTGTGACAAAATCGTATGTTAACGGGTTGGGAATAAACTGGTCTACTGTGAGAAATGTCATGGACATGCGCGCAGTTTATGGAGGGTAATTTCTTTGCTCAACATTCTTAATCTCGGCTGTCTCTTGTGTTCATGAAAACTTGTAACATCTTAATTGCTAATTTGTTCTTCTTCTTTTCGTTTTATGTGGTCTTGATGGTGGATTTACTCTACATGCTTGTTGGTGGCCACTGAGCTAACCCCAGTGGGTTTTGGAAATATATGCCAAAAATTTCTGAGTGCTTGCTTCTCTCCCATTTCTGTCTTGAGTGTTTTACTTGTTGAATGAATGAAGCTCTTTCAATGTGAAAGAATTCAAAGTTCATTGTTATTTTCTGGAATTTATTATAATTTTTGTTGGACTTTATGTGCTACTGAGTTGGTTATATAATCTTGAACTGGTTTTTCTTTAAATATCTGAGAGGTTCTTATTGACTAGATTTTATGACATGTAGTTTAAGTTTTTCCTTTTTCTAGAATTTTTTAAACAGTTTTGTTTTTATTTGAATCATTTTTACTACTGGCTCTATATCGGTTTGCAAAAGTTTTGCATTGTCCCGCTGAAAAATTTCACTTATGAGATATAATGTCCTCTTTTATGGAGTATATTATGTAAATTTCCTGTCTTGCATTGTAATTTGATTAATAATGATTGCATAGATTGATAGCAGCAGCAACTCACCTTATCAGTCAAAATTTTATCGAAAAGCTTTGACCTATTTGACTAAACAGTTTCCAAAACATTCAAATTTGTCTTCATAATAGAAGAACCATCATGCATGAAAATTAACTCACAATTTTTTTAAACATTTGACCCATTGATGATTAGGGTAAATGTTATCACCAGGCATCCCCAGCATTAGATGTATTTTTCGAACTGATTAACATTTCTTCATTCTTATGGCCTTTGCTCATCAATTAATGAATGGATTGCAGGTTTGCTGCTGCTCTAAAAGATTTGCAAGTGTGGGTCATGAATGTCGTTGCCATTGATGCTCCGGATACGTTGCCTATTATTTACGAACGGGGTTTATTTGGGCTCTACCACGACTGGTGTGAATCATTCAGTACTTACCCCAGAACTTACGATCTTCTCCATGCCGATCATCTTTTCTCCAAGATAAAGAAGAAGTGAGTATTTCCCGAATGAGAAATGTCTTCATTTTTGTGCTATTAACTCATTATTATCCTCTTTATAGCTTTAACTGATTCAAATTTTCTTCTTTTACGCCTCAGGTGTAATTTTGATGCTTTGGTTGCTGAAGTGGATCGTATTCTTCGCCCAGAAGGAAAGATTATTGTTCGGGACACCGTGGAGACGATTAATGAACTTGAGGGCATTTTCAAGTCTTTGCACTGGGAGATTCGCATGACCTACTCCAAAGACAGTGAGGGGTTGCTTTGTGCTCAGAAGACTATGTGGCGTCCAAAAGAGTGGGAAAAAGTTAGTTACGCACTTCAGTGAAAAATTACACGACTAGTCCAACTGGCACGCACTCGTTACGCTCTCATCCATCCCACAGAGATTAGGTATACTTTTTCTGTATTAGAAACTTTCAATCTCAAAAGTAATGTCATTTATAGCTCTTGTTGTATTTTTATCTAGTCAATTAGTTATTTTTGGATCCATTTTTTTTGAGTAGATGTAATTCAGGGTTCTATACTGCCGTAGTATTGGTGGGAATTGCACACCAATTATGTAGAACATTAAAGTTGAGCCAATTGGTTCACGATGGTGTCGAACTAGATCGAAGTTGACCATTATAGTATAAGTTCGGTTTTATGCAACATTTACCTTTGTAATATCATGCAGACAGGGCGGATTTAAGTGATGTAAATGTTGTGCGAAGGCACTTCAAATTCAGCTACAAGTTTTATGAAATTTTGGTTCATTATTACTAAAACGATACTATGATCTTTTTAGCACTTGGATCCAAGTCTTGTGATGTTTACCTCTTCCCCCAGTATAAATCACCTGGCCTGACTCATCTTCTGCAGATTCTGTTTCTGATCCATATTAGTAGATCTGACTTACTAGTTCGATTTTTGGCAAATGTAGAGATTCAGTCTCAACAGGGAAAGATGGATCATTTACTCGTCTTCACAGACCAAGATCCACGAGATCACAAGTTCACAACTAAAAAGCCAACTTAAAATACCATGACATTTTGAAGTAGTTATGAACTTCTTAGCAGAGTAAAGCAATCAGAGTGAAGACCAGGATGTCATTGGGTTCCCTTTTTTTTTTTTTTTGTGCACTGGGTTCTTGCTGATTAACTCCCTTCATTCCAAAATAAGTGTCGTTCTACACTACACACATAGTTTTAAGAAATTTTTAAATAGGGTAATAAAATTACTTGAATATCCTCAACCAACCCATTATAAAATTTTCCACTAATAGCATCAACTCTTTTGAGGGTAATTTTGGAAACTTTTGACAAAAAGTGTATTGAAACGTGAAAACGATACTTATTTTGAAATTTCTTTATTTTGTTAAAACGACACTTATTTTGGAATGGAGGGAGTATCATATTAATCAAGTTGCTGTCGAAACGTTTTTCATTCGCATTCTACAATCTTCTAGCCATTACAACTGTAAGGTCAAAAACTTGGAAAAAAAAAAGGGGGGAAAAAATGAAGAGAAAAGCTATATAATCACTAAATCGCTTGCCACATTTGAACTAGCTACGATGAGATTGTTATCAATAATTTCGGAAATGTTTCAGCAATTTTGGTAAGAGAGATAACAAAACTCCAAATTTTTTAAGATAACTAATTACGGAAAACTTGTCCCTTTTTCATTGCCATGTTTGTGCGCGAACGTAATGAAATAAACCAATGTAAGTTCTAACAACAATCATAATGCAAATCTGTTACGTTTAAATAGAACAAATGAATTTAATTGTCCCGATTAAGAGCGAGTCTGAAGGAAGATAAATCATCCATGCCTTTTGTCTTCCTTGCAAAGTGCCTAATCTCATGCTTCTCATGCCATTTACCTCTTTTCCATATAAATCCCAAAACAACAAAAAAAGTTCATATTACATTTCTAAAAGAAAAAAAAAAAAAACCCCCAAAAAAAGAAAATCAAAAACACAAACTAATGGCAGATGAGAGGTGTGGAATAGGGCCAAATGGGGTCATCAAAGGTAGCTTAGAAAACCAATGTTCTATGAGTACCACCAGCAGCAGCAGCAACAACAACAACAATTTGAGCAATATTCCTACTGCAACAACATGCAACAAAAACAACATTAACAACAACAACAATAATAGTAATAGCAATATAGGTAGCAGTAACAACAAAGAACAAGATCGGTTCCTTCCAATAGCGAATGTGGGGAGGATCATGAAGAAGGTGATCCCAGGCAATGGCAAGATATCAAAGGATGCGAAAGAGACGGTTCAAGAATGCGTGTCGGAATTCATTAGCTTCGTGACAGGCGAGGCATCAGATAAATGCCAACGCGAAAAGAGGAAGACCATCAACGGGGATGATATCATTTGGGCGATCACAACTCTTGGTTTCGAAGATTATGTTAGTCCCCTTAAGCAATATCTCAATAAATATAGAGAATTGGAAGGCGAAAAGCTTAATGTGCCTAAACAGCAGCAGCATCAACAACAACAACAACAACAACAACGGCTACATCAACAAGTACACCTTGATCATCATCAAAATGCACCAAATATGTCGTCATCAACATCATCCTACCATAGTCATGTATACTCTTCACCAACCCTTCTCTCTCAAGTTCCACAGCCGCCGTCCTTTATCTCCAACGATCACCAGCCGTTTCCATTGCCATTTTCTCAAAATCCGATTCAATCGCAATTGCCAAAGCAAGAACAACACATTGATTCAGTGGGACATTGGTAACGTGATAGAACAACAATTTTGATGTTTTCATAGATTAGCCCCTCTTTTCGGGTAATAGTATGATACATTACATATATATACACAAACTTGTAATTTTTTTCCATTTAAAGAATATACAACATTCTACTGTTATGAATATAGAGGAAATTTTATTTTTGGATTTAAATCAATAATCATTTCCCTTATTATGTGAAGCTAAACTCAGACAGGCATGGATCAATTACCTGTAGCTTCAGTATAATCAGATATGAAAGCTTCATCAAGCCATTATGGGAATGAACCTTTCCCAACCTGTTGGACTTTCGTGAGGTAACTAAAGCATCTTAGCTCAGACAATGACTTGAGACCATTCCGATTCCTGTGAATGAAAGAAAATTCTTGCACGAAGAGGAGAGTTTTCAACAAAAAGATGTCTTCAACTACGTCGAAATCTCTGAAACAGAATTAACTTCACCCTGTAAGTCTATAACCAGACCTACCACAGGTTTAGCATCTATCTGTAATTCTATTAGTTGCAACATCATTTCCTTTGCTTCCTCCACTAATCTTCTTACTGCTTCAACTTGCTACACATGACTTGAGGACAAGGCTTCCTAATTTGGACCAGGCAACAGGAGAACATTCAGGTACCCTTCCCCTGCGCCAGGGTATCTCTTACAGTGAGTCCCTTTCCCTGCTATTTATTGAAAGCTCTCACTACCAATCTAAGGCCATTGATTCTGAAAATCCCACATGAATGGGTTTCGACCTTACATTGGATCTGGAACTTATGGCATTGCACTTGCCATTTTGAACACATTTTTAGTGTCTACTTCTACTCAAAGTTCAAGAATTAAGCTGCTGGTTTTCGAAATTTGCCTAAGTAAAAACACAGTGATATGGATTCTACATCGCAAGAAAAGAGGTTCCGATGTTTTGTCAGTCTTTGTCTCCCTCCTTCTGATGTTGGAATTAGTTGATATCATTGGAGCAGTCTGTAGTCATCTTTGGTTTTATTGTAGGTTTCTCAGACATAGATACCACCATGATGAATGGCTTCTTTCATCAACCCTTTGGGAGAGTTGAGCCTTTCTATTTCCTGTCAAATGAGGACTTCGGGTACCTCCAAAACTAAGTTATACTCCCTCTATCCTTAAATGATTTTGCAATTTATACTAAAAACCAAATCACAAACTGAACAATAGTTTCGAAAGGGAGGGGTTAAAAGAATTTTGAGGACATGTGGGAGAAATATGCATGGTTGATCTCTAGTGCAACAACAACTTTTGAGAAAGAATACATATACTCCAGAACCAGAAGAGACGGATTGAGATGTGAATGAAAATCCCAGAATCACAATGTATATGATACACGGTATTGTTCTAAGTTTAATCGGATGTCAGCACTCCAGTTAATAAATGAGACTGCGGAGGGACGAAGAAAACATGTCCACACCTTATGATCCTATGCATATTTAAAATTAGCATACATCCTTTTGGAAGGAGGGGGCGGCGGAGCATAAACTAATATAGTAATTAGGTAGGATACTTAAGGCAGCAAATATCTCATTCATAGTTCAATTCTACGGCCAGGGAAGGAAAAGGGTTTGTACTGCCAAATGATATAGATCCCAAATACGCCGAAAGTGGAATTTACAAATCTAGGTCTAATCATCACCAGGCGAAGAATAGAATACGAACTAGTATTAGAGAGTGATAAAAGCAAATTGGAATCATCACAAGCAGTTCCCTTAAACATGATTCTCAATGTGACAAGCTATTATATGTTACTTCAGTTAAAACTCATCTGCACCCGTAACTTTAAAAAGGTACAGACACTACACAGAAAAGGTATAAAAAAAAAAAAAAAAAATAAAAAATATATATATAACAAGGAAAACTAAACTAAAAAAAGTAAAAATTACAATCAAACGAGGTGAATGCTTCATGTCATTTACTCATACCTTTTAAAGTTTCCTCTTAATCAAAAAGTAATAAACGGGAACATGAATTTCGTTGTCTTTCCCCTGAAAGATTATAGTATTACGACCAGATAGCTCAGTTTACATAATATAATTAAGTTTGTAACTACAAAATGTTAAAGTCACCAGCCAAAAACAGATTTGTGACTACATTTATACACACTGATGATATGACACCTGAAACCTGCACTGCAAGAGCTCATGGATTCATATCAACAGGCATATCAAATGGCTGCTTGCTAGAGCTTCCAGGTTCCAACTTAACACTCGGTTCATCAACAGCAACCGGCGCTGAATTTGATTCCTAAAAAAAGAAATGCAGAAACTTGGAGTTAGAATCATTGGTTGCTTCCTTTACAAACAGGGGGGGTGGGTGGGTGTGTGCGGGCAGGTGGTTTTTGTGTGTTCTGTTTTGTGTGTGTGGGGGAGGATTTCGGAGGCTGCGGGTACACCTTCAAGCCAGCTGTGTCTGTGACCATTGAGTCCAGTTCTCTTGGGCGTTCGTCTTCTTCCATATCATCCTGCAAGTTGAAATCAGCAATTAATATTTCAACTACAATATTGTGACAGAAAATACGAACTTCTGATTTATGGCTACAGAAGAGAATGGCGTCTGAAATCCAACAATAACCCTACGAAAAACTATTGACACATAGATCCAAGCTAAAGAAAGTATATATTTGCACAATCATTTCCTTCAAATCAGAAGGGGAAGAAAATGAAGTGACAGTCACAGACAAATGACTTTCCACCAGGAAAAGAGCACAACTCAACTAGATTGCAACACAAATTTATTGCAACTAAACAGCCCACTATATGTCACTTCTATATGTCTTTGTAAATCCAACACTAACATTAAAAATATTATGCTGCCAAAAGCTCAGTCAAACTGCCACTTAAAAAGGATTCTAGGCCACTTCCAATTATAAAAGATTCTGAACACTTACTGCATAACATTATTTCTACAACTCCATACACAGAAAAACTAATGTTAAGGAAATTCACACCAAACAAACGAATATGCCAAACCAATTCAAATTTTAATCACAACAATATCCTTTCCTTTGCCAATTAAAGATCACCCTTATCCAATTCTATTCAAACTGTCGTGCCTAATTGTTTCCCATCCCCACTGTAACTCAAAATCATACCTATTGAGGCATAAACCTTTCCCTCCTTGAGCAAAATGACAACATATGATCTACATAGCACCATATAGTGTGTTAAAGGCTCAGATAAATCAAAATATCTGTTGGACATGGACTAGGTTCACAAATCTTGCAAAGTCCATGTCACACAGAAATCAGCTTAACAAGAAAATTGAAACTCATTTCTTTTCAATACTTGTAGTAAAAACTGAGTAGTCAAATAAATTAGCACACATCACCCCTGAATCTTGTCATTTGGAAACTTTTAATCTAAAACCCAAACGCAAATAAAAAGCCACTGATGTCCATGACCCCAATTACATATTGAGCAATCATAATGCCAAGACAAAACCTGCCCAATAGTCAAATCTACTTTCTAAAGTATCTCTTTACATGTTTATATGACAAGTCAAAATGTTAGCTAGGGGTCATTTCATGACTTTGGCACCATTAGTAACAAACAAATCAACTATTCCATAGATCGTATACTTTCTATTGTCTATGCCACAATGTTTTCTTTAGGAGGCAAGAAGGAAAAATAGAACTGAAGGAATGGATAATATAATGAAACCATGCTCATGCATTATATGCATGAATTCTCCAATAGAAGGTAGCAAGGGAATGAAAGATGTAACAAGATCTTACCACATCTTTAGAATCAGGCTCAACAAACTCTCTCTTCACACCACCAGCCGTGGGAGCACTGTTAGAGAATAGGTAAGGCCACATAGTTGGACAGAAAAAATCATAAACAATAGTGAACACCTCAATTGGATAACAAAAAAAAAAAAACATACCGATCATCTGCATCCATAACATCATTATCAGGATCCCATCTTTCATCAGCATCTTCACGATCTTCGTCCGCCTTGAATCATAATAGAAACAAACTTAATCTTATTTGTTCAGATCTGTTGTGTAACAAATAATTCTGTGTTTTGCTTATTTGCAGATAGTTGCAATAAAATCAAAATTTACAATTCTAAATTCACATGCATTCAGGTTGAAATTTATCGACCAGAGATCTTCCGTAGGGAAATGAAAGTAAACAATTAATTTCTCAACAACAAAAAATAAAACCAGAGTAAAACAATTGAGGGAAGGCAACCCGAGCATAATACCGATTAAAACAAGTGGCCCGACACAACCAAAAAAAAAAAAAAAGGAAAGGAAAATTATGTATGTGGTGTCTACTGAAAGAACTCGACACCAAGGCACCCCGATATTCTTCTTTCTCAACATAAGTAATTAATATAGAGAACACTATTCACCAAAGGTTCGTATTCAAACAAACACACACACCCGCGAGAGGCTGAAAACCAAGAATGAAAACAGAAGCACTTTTATAAAACCTCAGGAAGTTCAGTATCAGGTGGCCGCTCCTGGAACTGCACACTAGGGGCATGCTGAAGTTTTGAGAGATTATCAAGAAGCTTTGCTCTTATATCTTCCAAAATCTGACGAGAATTCTTGTTTTCCATGTTGCTGGGTGCAACGTGAAGATTGTAGTCTGGACCAAAATATTCAAAATATTCATGCTGTGGCATCTTATCCTCAAGCTCCATCCCAAGAGCCACACCAGTCTGTACCGAGGAAAATAATGGATCAGCAAATGCTATTCAAATGACTCTAGCACATAGGAATACAGGAAAAACTTGATTCTTTCCTATCACATGCTTGCCTTTGCTTTGTGCTTCACATTTGGTTTCTTTAAAATGTAGTCTGTAGTAATACATGAGATGCAACTCTTTGACTTGTGACAAAGTAGTCATCAAACTGATACATGATTCTATTGTGATGCACTATACAGAGTTACAATCTTGTACCAAGATATACAAAAGAACACTGATTTAGTTACGAATTAACCACTCTTTTTTTGAACACAAAGCAAATTAGCAAAACAAAAAAATTTGAAATATAGAATGTTGTTACAGTAATTTTAAGGAAAAAAAAGAAAGAAAATCTGACTGAACTAAGATGAAGGATGTAATATAATACCTCATAGCACCAACAACGCGCGACATTGCGAATTGTGTAACCACCTCCTCCCAACAACAATAGTGGAACATTGAAAGATCTCATATATCTTACACACTCAGCATGACCTTTAATTGACAAATTGAAGCAGCCTAGCCTGTCTCCAGATAGAGAATCGGCACCACACTGCAATACTACTGCCCCAGGCCTATAAACCTCCATAACTTTTCCCATTATTGGCTTAAACAAAGATTGATAGCTTTCATCATCAATTCCATCATCAAGGGGCACATTAAGTGAGTAATATTTTCCCTTTCCAAATCCAACATCTCGAAGATCTCCTGTACCAGGGAAGTAGTCCCCAAATTTATGAAACGACACGGTCATTACCCTATCTGTAGTATAAAAGGCCTCCTCAACACCATCACCGTGATGAATATCAATATCCACATAGAGAACACGCTGCAATAAGTAATTACACGAAAATCAGGCAACACTTGACTCAAAATGAACATGCAAGGAAGAAGTTGTAAGGTTTAACATGGACACAATTATGCAATGCATTTTGTGGTCAGTTGGTACATATCTCACCACCTTCCTTTTACTAAGACATTAACATGCAAGGAAGAAGCTCTAAGTTTTAACATGGACACAATTTTGCAACGCATTTTGGTGCAGTCAGTTAAAAGGTACAGATCTCACCACCTTCCTTTACTAAACCATGTGTTCAGTAGAGTATATGCACGTCGTATCTCTTTTTCTAGTAGTTTCTTTTCAGTGTTATAAATTCTTCCATTTCCCTCTTCTAATATAAGGTTGATACTTCTCTACATTCTACAAGTCGTACTGACATGCAAAAAACATAATACACAAGCGGTCCTCTAAACTTTCATTTCAATACACATTGAGGCTAGACATATGTTCCTTTCAGTGTATACACTTATTCTGTCTTGTGTATTGTACCATTCTAACTTTCAATCGTGTACTGAGCATATATCTGCTGCTGAATAGCTAAATGCATTAGAAAGAGAAATCAACTTCCCATCCCTGGGTGACCAAGCTCAGCCAAAAAGCCCCAAAACATGTAGATAACCATATCATAACAGAGATACATTGCGTGCAAGAACAGAAGATTAGTAATCACCACTCAATAATGTTAATTGAAAATTTAAAAACGACTAACACTAACAGTGGCAGAATTCGTCTCAGCGCTTGGTTATAGAGAAAAAAAAGGGGGGGGGGGGGGTTTCCTAGGCTGTGTCGAAAGAACTCCATTTTGAATTTTACAACTCAGGAAGGGCTAAGATTTACTATATAAGGAAGAAGAAGTATTCATGGATCAACAGACAGCAAACCAAACCCAACCCCACCCCCCAAAAAAAAGATAAATAAATCTAGAAATTTCTGCATCTGTAATAGTCAATCCTCACTTATCTCAGCATAGTGAGGTCTCACAGCATCAAAAAAAGGAATAGTAGAGGCAATGAAGAAATACAGAGTTGATGGTCAAAAAGATTAACTGCATGAAACGAAGGCATGAAGGACTACATAGGGGCATGAAGGACTACATAGGAACATGTCATAAGGCAATGCAGTCACACCAATCAGAGTATCACACTAATCAAACTACGAAATAAAAACAACAAAACACAAACAAAAATAAATATAACCAACCTCATGCACTTTGAGTAGTTCTAGAATGGCCAACACTATATCATTCACGTAGCAGAAACCAGAGGCTTCGCATTTCTTAGCATGATGTAACCCACCGGCCCAATTTATAGCAATATCACATTGTCCATGATTCAACTTCACAGCTCCACCAACAGAGCCACCAGCATATGCTGTGCAGAAGGAGTACAGACCATCAAAGACAGGGCAATCTTCACCAACATTAAATCTCTTCAATTGTCTAAGCTGATCTTGCTGAGTTTCTGGAGTAATGCTACGCAGAAAGTTAACATAATCATCTGCATGGAACTTGGAAAGATCTTTGTCTCTAGCCGGGTTTGGCTTCATTACGGACATATGTTGCAGCAATCCATAGTGTGCAAGAAGAGCATGGGTCATCCGAATTCTGTGGGGTTTCATCGGGTGGCCTTGACCATAATAATAGTTCCCAATTTCAGCATCATAGAAGTAGGTTACTTTCCTCTTCACCCCATCTGGTCCCGATGGCAAGGAATTGCCTCCTAATTCCATTGCGTAACCTGTACAAAAAAAGCAAACCAAAGCCTCAACAAGATAACACAAACAATCTGCACAAAATTAGAAAACTTTTCAAGCTAAAACCAGAACACATGGCTCATTCTAAGGAAAATGGAAAAATAAAAGAACCACCTTCGAGAATACAAGAATTTCAAGGAAATCTCCGAAGGGTTTCGATCAATAAACAAATATCAAATATGCGAAACTCAAAATTCAGAGTATGAGCAAAGTGGCAAAAAGAAATCGTTCACTAGTAAGACAAAGCAAGGAAAGCAGTCTGAGCAGTAAATTATTTGATAAAATTTAATTTTATCGACCAAGTATGGTACCTTCGGACAGGAAGTTTTAAACCTATTCCAATTGACAAGCAATGTCTAAAATAATTTTCTGTAAACCCCTTTCCAGATTTATCCAAAAAAACTTAAACAAATGAACAAACCATAATGTGTAGAGCTAAGCTACCTGGACTCGCTCCGACACGACAATGTCGGACACGATACCGACACGGAATATGTACCGGGCTCCTTGACTAAATTCGAGATCCGTTCGAGTAAATTGGACGGACTGGAAAAAAGAAAAAAAATCAAAGGAGAAGGGGGAGAAGAACAGAGATGAAAAAGGAGAAGAAGAAAGCAACGGAGTCTTGGTTATATGCTGGGAGTCAGTGGCGGAAAGAGTTATTTCCTGCTGGCCGGGATTGGGGAAGAAGACTAGAAAGACCGAATTAAGACTGGGGGTCATTTTATTAAAGTGGTACTGGGCTTATCATGCTTTTTAAAAATAAGAAAGCCCAATACTCTTTGTTTGATTTAAAGAAAAGAAACCATTTTTTTGGGCTAAGTTAGGATAATCGGCGGTCATGAATTGAAGGGCTATAATAGAATTAGCTAAATGAATAAGGGCTTTCGTAGCAATTATGTACTAATAGTTATTAGAAACAGCCGGTTAAGGACGTTGAACAGTAATCGAAGAAAATGTATGAGTTTTGCTATTCTCCTCCTCTTTCTAATTCTCCTTCCTCTTTGTCGAAGGGAACTCTAAATCCCGTTTCTGACAACTTGGTAATCAGAGCTTCCGATTCTTGGCTGGGAATGATGGCGACTACCAATATCCGGCAAATGTAGGGGATGAATTTCACCGGCAGGAGCAGCTCGGGTTGAATCGATTGGCGGAGTTGTCGGAGATACGAGCCTTCGCTTCAAGACAGAAGGTTCGAATGGAAGAAATCAATACTCAATTGGAAGAAATCAGTGCTCAATTGAAGATGTTAACTTCAACCGGATCCCAATTGTCCGGCTACAAGTAGGATTTTCCCAAAGGACAATTCGCCTGTTCATCTTGAGGAATTTCCATCGGATAAATCTTCGACTCTTGACGGAGATGCCCAAACGGTGCAGTTAACCTTCTTTTATGGCGATTATGACGACAACCCCAGGATTGGCTGAATAACTGCAATAATTTCTTCGTCTTGTTTCGAATTAAAGAATCGGAGAAGATAACATGGTGGCTTCATTCCTACAGGATCGTGCAGAGATTTGGTTCATGGCTTTGCAATTGACCAAACCGCCTCAGTCTTGGAGTGATTTCTGAGCTCATTCGAAGGTTCGAAAAGAAACAAGAGTTTTTCCTTCAATTTTCTGACGAAGAAGAACTAAATGAGGTAATGGAAGCTGATGGTAGCAACACTGAAAAGGAATTCTATCAGTCCACAAGTTTAATTCGTCACTTTCTGAAACAGTGAAACCGGGAGGAGGTAATAACGTTTCTTTTCAAAATTCATATGAATTGGTGTGTTTTGGTGGTGACTCTCCTTATGTTAAAGCTGAACATGATGATATGTTGTCAATAGATATTAATAATGATGAATGTGGCTGTCTTAAGCCTGGTGATTGTTGTATTGTCCATGACGTCTCTGTTGACTTTGAGGTTTATGATGCCAAGAAAATCGTTGACAACTCAATTGGGAATGTTCATTGATCTATGCTTGTGGATAACATAAAGGTGCAATCTGATGATGAATTTGTGCACTACGGTGATCTTGAGAAGTCTGAGGCTGAATTTTGGTTGGGGAATTTTAATTACATTCATGTGACAATCTATAATTCGGTTCATGATTCAGTGGTCCTTAAAAAGGTTAAAGATGATGTTGGGGGAATTGATATTGATTTGACTGCTTATGCTGAAGATAATATTGTCCCTAAAGAGAGCTTGAGAAATGAATTTCTTAGTATTAAGGGAATAGTATGTTTTGATGATGGACAAGTTCTATTTGAAAACTTAAGAAAGAAAAATGTGTAATGTTCAGTGATACTTTTGATGACACTGGGAGCTTGAGTAAAGAAGATGGTCCAATGAATTTGGAATTTATGGTTAAGGAACTTCTGTCTGTTGTGGTTGAACTTGGAAATGGAATTGAAGTTCAGTGTAGTGCTTCTATGGGATTTGTTTCCACTGTAAATGTTGAGCCAAGTGTTTGGGTGTATGATCCTGGAATCGGCGCAACTTATTTAACTGCAGTGATGAAGGGAGTCAGGGGAGATAGTTTTATAGAGAGAGAATCTCCTTTCACAGCTGGTTAGCTCATGATGGTGAAGAAGTTGAAATAAAAACTTTTTGGTCCAAGAAACTTTGTGTGCAATGGAGTAAAATGAAGGTTTCCAGTGTTAGTGGCTTCATCTTCATCATTGAGAACATGGAAATTCTATTCCAGGATGCTGATGGTCTCCTGATTCTCAAAAAAGTTTATGATGAGTCCCAACAATATAGTGATGATGAATCTGTGGGATTAGGAGTTTTGCATTGGAAGCCAAGACCATTGAAATTAGTGGGAAATGATTCTGATGTTTATTTTCAGTTTGGAATGCTCCCGTGCCAATGGAGAGTAGTTTTTCATTTCTCTCCAAACCTTGTGGACAAGGTTAAATTTAAGGGAAATGGAGTGATTGTCAAGTTCGTTTGTGATAGCAATCTCGTAGATTAAGTAAAATTCGTTAATGCAACTATCAAACAAGAAAGTACGACAATAAGTTGTCTATCACGTGAAACTCAAAAGAGTGCGGAAAATTCACAGTAACACGATCGTTTATCTAAGAAATTCTATCTCTTAACTCAAACCAAGCAAAGAATACATAATCTATGAAAGATTTGAATTAAACAACAACCCACACTAAGAATAGTAAGGACACCATTCAATATACTCGATCAGTCATCATTCAAGAGACTCAAGAAAGGTAGGAGCAAACAATGCTCAACTATGAAGGAATACTGCCAATTAGTAATCTCCATAACCAACAAAGATATGCAACACAGACACTATCTTAAAATACTTATGCCAAAGCACAAATCATCCAACAAAAGTAGGACAAACCCCACAAAGGAACTCATGAACGCACACATCATGAATTCAAAAACCATAGCCAAAAGAAAGGCTTAACTCTCGAACTACTAGAAGTCGTATGAAAATAAGAAGTTTAGTTTTAAAACAATTCTATCAAAAATCATACTTGAAAAAGAACGGTTTCTGCAAAATCAAAAGATCCAAGACAAGATGAAAACCCTCTTGGTTAAATCATACTTGACAAATGAAAAATGGACACACCATTTAACAAAAATTCCTCACATGAAAAACTTTTATTAGAAAGACAACAAAAATAACCACACATGGGTGCTTTAACTTTTGGCCATACTCTCCCTATTTATAGGCTAGCAATTTCGGCCAAAGCACTAAAAAATAAGACCAACTAGGACTCTCTAATCTTATCTCACGCTGGAATAGAAGTAGAAGAGTATTTGATCTCTTTGACTCTATCTAAAATCTAGGAAACCTTATCTAAATGACTTATTCTCAAATAGGATAATACTTAAAAGGAATCTAAGACTCCTAATCAAAACACTCTAGTTTAATTCAGTCCACATGACTTATTTAACTAGATAACATTCGAAAATAATTCCTAGACTAGATAATACTCTAATTCTCGAAAATCACCTTCAAATATTGAAGTAAAATGTCTTGAACGCCCTTCTAAAAGTGGAATATTGGTCTTGCACCCCTCAAGTTGTAGATAACTCCAATTTACTCCAAAACTTGTAGAATTCTCTTTATTGACTCCAAAAGATTGAAAAATACTTAAACAATTGAGATAGTTTGCAACATATCTAATTGTGTAGCAATTGACTCACTCTTGAACACTTTGATCAAATAGGCTGTCCATTCAAGAACCTAAATGACTCTTCTCTCTAGCTTGATCAATGATCTTCATGGAGTACCTAGAGTCAAACTCCCTTGATACTCTTGAACACTTATTTCCACGAGTGAATCATCTCCTTTGGTTTGAACCCCAAAGTTAATGACATTCTCATCATCTTGATCATAGCCCTCTTGAACCAACTCCCTATCACATAGATAGTCAAGATCCATCCTTTCTTCCTTGATTGGCTTGCAAAATAAACTTGGAATTCCAAAACTAGAATGAAGGACTAACCCATTCCCCTCACTAGGAGAATCACCATGGAAGGATATATGATTATCATCATCCCCTTCTTTAAGAGGATTCGTCCTCGAATCATCAACCTCTAAACCTGCACAAGGAACAAACGAGATATAAGGGTTAGTAAAATCTTCACCCTCACCACACTTTGATTTTCTCTCATTGTGTGCATCTTTTTCTGTTTCTACGCTATTTTCATGATTTTCTCTCGCCTCAAGTCTTACCTCAGCGTGACCCTTTTTACTTTCTTGCGTCACTCTCTCGACTTTTTCTCTCCTTTGTGTATAGGTTATTTTACGTCTTTTCTCTCGCACAGACTTAGCTTCTTCATAAATCAAAGACTTAAGAGTATATTTTCTGTTTTCTTTAGTAAAGACAGATATTCTTCGAGCAATAGTGCACATCATCTATATCTGATTACCAAGGCCTACCTAGCAAAATATCACAAAGAGACATAGAAATTACATCAAAGTAAATTTCATCCCTATACTCACCAACTTGAAAAGATACCATGGTCTTCTTAGGGACATCCACAACCATCTCTTCACTCAACCATTGAAGCTTGTATGGTCTAGTATGCGGATCCATCTTGATTCCGTTTGCTATGCAAAATTCTTCACTTATACAATCAGTACTCGATCCACCATCGATTACAAAATCAACTTCATTGGACCACCCAACCGAACACTTAGTACGGAAGATACATGTCCGTTGATCACCATCTTCAGCGCCAAACACCAACCCTTGATCCTCAATTCGACCATTCTAACCACAAGAAATATCATGCCCTCTCTCCACTTATACGGCAGCGTAGTATGCCTCAAAGAGTCTTGATTGCCTCCTTATCTTTGGGTTTTGTTTATACCCCTTGTCCAAGCCATTGTACAAATGATCAGTCAACATTTAGTCGTTCTCATCCATACCTGAACTCAGGAACACGCTTTCTAACTCCTCAAAGTAAGATTGAACGGATCTACTATTCTGCTTACAATTGAGTAACTTCACTTTTGCTTCATCAAAGGTGATAGTACCAGCATATCTTTTTCGCAAAGCATTCCTCAAATCATGCCAATCATCTAAATTACGATACCAATGATGCGAATAGATATTTGAAACTACCTTCCCCCAATTTAAAGCTCTAGAACGAAAACAACCTACAGCTAAGGCTATTTTCTCACTCTCTTTCTCAATTTTAAGCAACACAAACAAATCCTCTATGCTCTTTTCCCAAGTATCATAGTCTCTATGGTAACCATAAAACAAAGGCAATGACACTTGCAACATTCCAGCATATGAGGGTACTTATTTTACTTCAAAACGATCACATAAGACTCAAATTTTCAGCAATTTTCTCAAAACTTACCATAACTTTATCTTGCTGATTTGAAAGTAATTGAGACAAGTCTCGGTTCGCCTCCTTCACCTCGGCCAAAGCATCATGCAAGTAGTCAATTTGACTTTTCATGAGCTGCACTTGAGCCTCCATGCGACCCTTTACACTTTTTGAAGCAACTTGAGTACAACCAGCAACTCCGGATGACATCTTTGCTCAACAACTTTGAGAAACCACCAACAAAAGAAGTAATGTGCCTTTGTTACTTCACAAAAACTCCTTGAACCCTTGAACTAATAAATGGCTCGGCCGAAACCCCCCTAAGAACTAAAGGAAAGTTCAAATAATGTTCTCCCCAAAAACAAAAACTCTCCTGTACGTTTAAGAACACTAACTCTCAAAAATTCAGAATAAAGAGAAAGAGTATCTCGACAGCAAGAAGAAGAAGAAGAATGGAGTAGAGTGGTGTGAGAATTTTTGAAAAACAGCACCCCTATTTATAGGCAATGCAAGTCCTTTTGTGCAAGATAACTCCTACAAGATAGGACCTAAATTTTCTAAAAAATATTCCCTCCTTAATTGATAAAATTCCAGTCGACAAGATGGAATAAAAAGGAAGAAATTCGGACAACATATATATATATATATATAAAAGGATAGAGTCCTAAAACTTAGGTAATTATAATCCCTTTTGGACACAACTTATGAACTATGTCATAAAACAATGAAAGATTCATCCCGACTAATTAGAGATAAAAAAATCCGACCCCCCTACTACAAATAGGACTCAAAACTCGGCCAAAACACAAGCACAATTGTATTAAAAGACTCAAAAATTTTCAGATTAAGATAAGACTTCCTTCTCTCAATAGTTTTCGAAAATATACTCAATTTAAAACTCTAATTATAATCTCACTGAAATTATAATTTAACTCATGTAAAAATTAGTATTTAAATCCAAGTAGGACTCAAATAAAACACACAATAAAATTGTATTACCATTAAGAAATAAAGGCTGAAAAATTTTGGCCAGTGTGAGCACTAAAATCCAAGACCGAATAGGTCTCAAATCATAACACAATTTGGACTCAATGACCTTAAGTTTAGGGATAAAATTTTCGGCCATGTGAACACACAAATACATGACCGAATAGGTCTCAAAGTGTAACACAAATAAACAACCAAAATTCAAGTTCAACTAGGACCAGGAAACCCTAATTTTTAGCTAAAAAATTCGGCTATACTATGACTCTAAAATTCAAAACCAACTAGGCTTAGAACTCTACATAAAACACATGCACACACATGCATTAATTCAGAAAAAATTCGACATTTAATTTTTACCACAGTTAAAATTTGAAAAATTATTTTTGACTCACTTTAAAAAGGAAACTTGGAAATTACCACTTTCCAAAATGTCCAACAACTTTAGAATACTTTCTAAAAAACACTTTCCAAATTGTATATGGAATTAACAAAAATCACTTTTTACCAAAACAATCTATGGCAAATAAAGTAACAAGAACACCATAAGTATAATGAAGTTGGAAAATTTAAAGTTCCTCATTCAACTATGACGTTTGTTTCATAATACTCAATTTAACACAAACCATTCATAAAACTCAATGACAAGGCCATCTTCATAAGTGACCATTTGAAAATCAAATTTTCCAAAGACTAAATATGTAAACTTCAAGAACATATTTCAAAGCCTATAAGATTTCTTGGCATATATATATAAGAAAATCTTTAGTAAAACTTCACTAAATTCTCGATTCAACTCTCGAAAATTAAGGTTTTAAACACAAGTCAAAGACTTCAACCCTTAAAGTTGGCACAATTCAACTTCAAAGACTTTTAAACATTTGATACCAAAATTGATATCACTAAAATTCATTCCTTATCAAATGATAAAGAAAGTTTTGAAACTCAAGTTAAGAATCATGGAAAGTCCAATGATAGGAAGATCCACTAATTCGACTTATTCTCAAAGTATAAACTTATGAGATATCAAAAACCGACATTTGTTGCTTTTGAAAAATCTTTTGACACTAAGATTTAAACAATAAACATAATGATCAAAAAGAATCGGAACTCTATGAAATTCTCATTGTTTGAAACTCCATAAATTCCATTTTACTCATTAGATTCAAATGAGAACCAACAAGAAGGAAGGCTTTTTCATTTATACTTTATGTAGAAAGTACAAAATCACTAAGCTTCACCTTTCAAAGAATAGATCCAAGAT